GTAACATTTCCAAGGAGGAGCAGACGTTGACCCACGGTCTGCGGGGGGGTGATGTACATGGGTGTGCTGGAGCGGGCCGGGAGCATGCTGGCACCTACCCTGGCACGTGCGCGGCCGTCAGAGCCCATGCCGGCCGCTCCACCGTGGGGCTGCCCGTGCCAGCTCCTGCTGCTCGTGCAAGGCCACTGCCTGGGACGCTGCTGCTGCTCGAGGACGTGCACGCTCGATGTGCACATCAGAAGAAGAAAGGGTGAACTCCCCAGTCCGACTCCCAGTCTCCAAAGCAGGGATCGGTTCCCCGGGTCAGCTGGTTGCTGACGGCGTTGGGAGGCAGATCTGCAAAGCCAACACCGGCTGCCGTCACTGCTGCATCTTGTAGCAGCCGTCACATAAACCTGCAACAACCCAGGCTGTCGGCTGGCATCTGGCCAGCTGCCATCTCTGCCAGCGGCCCATGACCCATGTCCTGCCAAACCTGTCTGATTCCAGGGCATCTGGAGTAGCGAGGACCCTCCTGAGCACACACGCAGCCCCTGGCTCTTTCGCTGTAACAGCGCACGGGTGGCCGGTGTCCGTGCGCTCGCTGCCCTGCGCAGCTTGGTGTGCCGGGAGGGAGGCGAGGGCCAGTGCCCAGGGACGGCACAGCCGTCGGGCAGCAGGAGCTGGCGCAGGGCGGTGGGTCTCTGTGCCTCTTCTGCTTCCCGGCACGGCTCTGCGGTGCCCTGCTGGAGTCAGGGCTCTCCGCTGCAGCGCCGTGCTGGAGATGGCATCTTCTGCACAGCATCAGCTGGGCAAGAGTCACTGGGGCGCGGGAGTCCCACCGCACCCCTGGTGGGCACCGTGCTCCGGTCACAGACGGGATTTTACCAGATTTGAGACAATACTCTTCTGCTTACAATGATGTAACTATAGAGGTCAGCTCGCTTTGACTTCTTTAAGGTGAGAGAAGTAAAGCAGAGGATGGTCCTGCAGGGATGGGCGGGATTGTTCTGTGCTTGGGTGCGGTGGTGAGTCACACACTGGGGACCTCGGAAAGGGCTGTGCCCAGGACCCTGTCCCGCTGCGGTGCCAGGGGCTGCAGGAGATGCCCCTTGGGCTGGTGTTCCCACTGCTCGTCGAGCAGGAAGATTGTTAGCTCTTCCCATTTCTTTAGGAGCAGAGACTTTGGGCACTAAGATTAACGTGGTAGCTTGTATGAAGTGATTTGATAAATATGGGCATAGATGTGAAGAAAAAGGGAAATTTTATTTCCCTCTCAGGTGACGCAGAAATAGGCTATTCCTTCAGCCCGAGCAACATAATTGTGTTTTTCAAATAGAATTAGAAGAACACAAAACATAATTTAGATACCTTGTGTGACTCATTCGCTGTTTGACGGCGCAGCCCACGTGGTTGTTTACCACTCGGGCACTGCTGGGGCAGGATTTCCTGGCCTTTTCAGAGCTAAACCCAACAGCTCCCCTCCCAGATGAACCCCAAATAAACCCAACTCGTTCCTAGTACTCCTTTAATTAATGATCGCTGCTAAGCCAGCAGTCTGTACTGGCATCTGCCATTTCTCTTACAAGGACTAAGTGGATGGTAATACGGGAGGTCTCCGGGAGAGCTGGAGGGCAGCCAGGAGAGCAGCTGACGGCGGTTTTGCGTATGGGGG